TACCATAATCTGAGTGATCTATGATCACTGATCCTGATTTGGATCATCCAAAAAGATTTCTTTCACGATGACAAGTTCAGCTGTGTTTTTCGTCTCTTTTCCTAAGTACTAAGTACCCAAAAATTGACGGCAATGATGAAAACCTTTTTAGATTTTTTGGAAGGTAATACCTTCATCATTATAATTCACCTCTCTTTGTCGTGAAAATAAGGCATTTAATTACATATTAACAGCTTGGAAAATTCGCTCGGTATATCAATTCAGTGCCAATCAAAAGGAATGAAACAAAACCAACTCACTTCAAGCCGTCAAACAAGTTCTTTTGAGAGGTAGAAAAATCATCTTCGACGCTCACGATGCATCCAAAATGGCCACGTTACACGCGAAAAACCGCGACAAATTGCCACATGGAATCATTGGAAGACTACATAATCCTCCTCTGGTGCTCCGCTGCGCGCGCAAGAGCCCCGCTATAACCTCTAGGCATTAGTTTAACAGAATTCTCGGCTTTCACATGACGTCACCAAAATTAAAACTGAGAAACTATCGATTCTTCTGAGGTTTTACTTTCATGAGGTATTAGAGCACCTAAAAACCTCTATTTACACAAATTTTCAAATCGAAAGGGTTCTTCTTTTTGCCATAGAGGACGCTTGAATTTCCAGGCTTTTAGCTGGCCGGCGGCGGTGAAAGCTCAGTCTTATGTTGGTTAAAACTAATATTTTGAGATTTTGCTATCTAAACACTCCTTTCTCAGAATAAATATTACTGTAATCCTTATGACGTCCTCATGCAAGCGATGAATTCATGCATAAGTAGGAAAACCCAGAAACATATGTTTCTGTTGGTTTCCGGCGGCCATATTTGTGCCCCTCAAAGGGACACCAACATGGCGTCTCCATACACAGCATTATAAATTTGGTAAAAACGTTTTCCGAAGAGAGGATAAAGGGGGCAGAGAAGGCATCCCCCATACACACCCTATTCCATAGGTAATTTGTCTCGAGTTATTTTTAAGACTATAGATCCCAAGGGGGATTAGACAACAGCCAATCACATAGCGCGAATGTGTTCCGCGTGGATGACCCACGCTCAGAGCCACGCGTCCTTCACGAATTGACGCAGAAAAATGTGGCAGAAGACGCGGAGAGCGAAATTGCTATTTGTTTTGTCGACGGAAACGACTAAATAGAGATTTCTGCTAAAGCTGTGTCAGCGAAACGGAAATAGCCAACAATACAGCAGGGACATCCTTAACACACCAGGCTCCTGAACACACTCAATGTTCCCTCAGGATCATTTATAATTTACAGTTTGAAGAGAGCAATTTCTGGTTTGATATTTATTCTTTTATTAGTCTTTTATTATTCAACAAAAATAACACTTGGCGTCCTACTTGCTTTATTGTATAAACAACCGGTTTCAATGGACCGGCGAAATTTCTCATTTTATTAAAGCACTGAGGTTACGACAACTTCGAGTTAAACTGATTTCACTGATTGTCAAAGAGTCCAGCGATTCCCTTTTCCCAGGTGAGCGCCGACTCATTTCGCTTCAATATTCAGAAATGCTCTCGATCACTTTACGCTTTCATTGCCTTTCGCCCGAAATGTTTTGCACGGCGTTTAGTCGTGCGAAACCTCCACGAAACATCCACGCAGCGCGCGAGGTAACTTTATCCCGATTCTAAAAATAACTCGAGACGAATTACCTATGGAATAGGGTGTGTATGGGGCATGCCTTCTCTGTCCCCTTTATCCTCTCTTGGTTTTCCCCAATATCTCACATATGAAATACCTCACAGACCTTATTCTTGGCGAGGCTTTTTGTATATTTATCTTCTTTCATTTCCCAGATTCTGGACTTTCTGGATTCAATGGTTTGCATGAACGGTTAGACTCTTCTCAAGAAAGGTATAGTAAGTTTTTGGTCAATCGGTAGGGACCTTACGATCAGACAACGGCGACGTCCATGAAAACATCTTCGAACAAGAACGCTCTTACGGCGGCAGTCGTTCTCGCTTGCTTGGAGATTAGATCGACAAATGAGGAGACGATCAATTCTACACGAAACAGCATTTACTCTCTGAAGGTTTTTTACTTGCTACTTTTAGGCTTTTGTACATTATGCTTGCATTTTTTCGAGCATTTTAGTGAGGCAAAAGCATTGAGCATTATTCGAGCATTTTAGTGGCATTTTCCCCGGAAAATTAATTTTTCCGAGAAAATGAAATAGAAATTAACTTTTTTGAGGAGCCCATGCCCCATGAGCTCCTGCTTTTTTAAACCAAATGAAGACTATAACTCAAAATTCACAAAAAACCTGATACAGCTGGTTTTTTTGGCTGTATTTATGAACTTGTACACGTTGTCGTTGTTACTTGCACGTTTTTGTATGTGTAAACTTTGAAATTAATTAAAAAAAACCGTTTGTATAATGAGCATTATCCGAGCATTTTAGTGACTTTTTTGGGGAGACCGAGCATTTTAGTGGGAAAAATGGAGCATTAAGGTGGAGCATTTTAGTAGGGAAGCAAAAGCATAATGTACAAAAGCCTAGCTACTTTATCGACGTCGATACTTTTTATTTGTTTCTGAATTGATTTAGTACGCGTGTTAGCGACGACCGGAAATTCGTCTGCGGTCGCAGGCTATACCCGTGTATAAATACACGAAAATTCAAGGGCCTCGATTCCAGAGAAATTAACCGCCGTCCCCCGCCTCCTTTATCTCAAGGTCTGGATCCAGCACTGAAAGTAATCAACGCTTTCAAGCGATAGAATTGGTGGACCGACACGTTACGGAAAAGCTCTAAATGTAATCGTTCCTAAGCTTTCGGTCACGTAACGATTCTTAGTCCCAGTTTCCACGGTCTCCTCTAGGAACGCCTGGCACAATGATCCCCTTCTTGTGTCCTAAATTCGAAGAAAAACGCGTTGCAGATTATGAGTCTCGCTGCTTGTGCAAGCGAGACTAAAAATAGACTTCGCATCCGTTAACTTTTTCGTGATTATACCAAGTCGCCCAGATACTGAGCTGAGGAGAGGTACCTCCCCCAAGTTCGGACAGAGATGCTAGAATTAATAGTCTTGCCGTTCCCGTTCTTAAGTGAAGGTAAAATTTGGCCATTTCACGTCGTAGTTGTGCAGCGATCGCAAAGAAGTGTTCAAAAAATCGTGATGCAAATGCAAAAATGTTGTTTTGCTCATTAAACCTATTGCTTTTTTGACGTTCCCGTTCCCGTTGCCGTCGTAGTTTCTTAAGGTCCCTAGTTTTAGATCAGGCGACCCAGAGGATATTATTCATCACTTTTTCTCCACAGACAGAAGTGGAACACGCCCCAGGAGGATGGTAGAGACGACTTGCCAAGAAACCAAAGCCGGTCGCTCGTGTGACTACGGTCTTCGCTAGCAAAGACTTGGTATTCTCAAAGTTCAATCCCTTTCAACTCCTGACGGACGACGATTGTTTATCAAACGACCAAACCACCAAACGATCAGCTTGCTACCTACTCTAGTTGACGTTCCAGACCATAAATACATTCCCTCCCGTGAAACCAATTTTACTGATAAGTTTAGGAAACCTAAAAACTTTGTGAAATTGTTTCCAAGACGTCAGGTTTTAGCTTCAAAAAGCGCCAACGCTTCCAGACTTGCGACTGTTTCAAATTTTCAACTTCACTTGTGCCAAATTTAATGCTAATTAAGAAAATCTATTGTTCTCACTCATTTGCACGAGATTCGGCGCATGTTAAGTTGTTTTTTTAAATGATGGATGGGTGTATGTTTGATTAACGTTGGCCTACGTAGCCGGCGAAATCATTAGCGCGAGTAAATTTTTGGCAATGGAGCTTCAAAGCTGTGCGCAGAATAGGGAGAAAACGCTTTGAATTCTCTCGCGCCTTCGGCGCTCACTTCCGTCACTTCTCAAACGTAAATAAAGTTACTCATTACTCATTACTCACTCAAGAATATATGGCAGCTTCGCCGCAAAAACTCTCATACGTACTAAAACAAATTCGCCAGCTACGCAGGCTGGATTAATGTCTGGTGTTCAGCGGAAATCCTGCTCCGATGCGTTTTCATTTCGGACTTAAGATCCCCGCTGGCACACTCAGATTCTCAAAGGAAATAGGCAGATCAAAACTGGCAAAAATAATTCTTATGGATAAAACTACAAAAAACTGGTTATGTTTGTGAAAATGTAAAGAAAAGTGAACGACAAATACAGGGAAAACTTAGCAACACGGTACAAATTGAGGTTTGCCATTTACATTGAATATGACTCGAAGTCTCTTTTTAACGTAAAGGCATATCAGTATGTTTCCAAAGCTCACAGTTATTACCTTGACGTGAAGTCCATTATTGTCGCTCATCTGCTCTAGGGAAGGATTCAAATTGTTTCTGCACCCACAGTCCCACAGAAATTTGATATTTTTCACTTTTAGAGTGACTTTACTTGACCCGTGAAACAGTTAGTAGAATACTACGCACTATTATGCACTAATTCCATTTTACTCTTTTGCTTGACTCTTGCTATTTGGCACTTTTTGTTAGTATCTGTTTCACGTTTCAAGTAAATTCACTCCATCAAAGTTATTTAGTCAGGACTGTTCATTATCGTCTTCAACGAATACACCTGTGTAACCGCTGATTTATTGGAGTAAGTTGTGTTTTTGACTAAAACGCTTCAAGGCATTCTGAGTAAATAGGCCATTTTACAGTTGTGTATGGAAGCGAGGCTGAGGGTGACCTTGTTTTGATACAAACCTTCCTGCTTTATTGTGTAAATCAAGTTATTCTTATGCTAACCAGTATTTTTCAAGAACAATTTCCATAACAAAGCAAAGAAGGTTTGTATCCGAACAAGGTCACCCTCAGCCTCGCTTCCATCCATAACTGTAAAATGGCCTATTGCACGAGCAGATGCCTTCAGACTGTCATAAAGATGTCCGCCTGTTGTTTAAGCAACTTCCTTCATCTATTTTTTTGAGACATTGCTTCACGAGCTCGATTCATCTTTTTCCTCTTCTTCTATCTCTTGATACAGCTGGAAGTCTTCCTCCATTTTTTCTTCCTTGCGTCTTGAACGCCTTTCCATTCTTACCTCCTTTGCTCTTAGCACTGCCTTCGTAAACAAATAACAGTACAGTTCAACTGCAGAAGGAGAATCGTCATTTCCAGGTATAGGGTACATTATAAGATTAGGATTACAGTCACTGTCCACAATTCCAATACTTGGAACATTTGCTTGAGCTGCTTCTTTTACAGCTAACATATTTCTTCCCAACGAAGGTAAATGTAAAAATATAATAAGATCTGCAACTCTAGTCATTCCTGTAAGCATCATGGAGTTAGTCAGAGTTCCTCCTCGCCATCTTCGAGTGATGAAGTACTCACCACACTCTCTAGCAGTGCGTTGTGTCAGTTCTTCAAATTGTGGATGGGTAGAAACAAACAGTATTATTCCCCCTCTGTAAGCAATGTGAGACAAGACATTCAACGCCAGCTGGAAGAAAAGCAAAAAATTAGATAATTTCCCATAATATGAGGGGTCACTTTTTATAAAAAAAAAGTTTCATTCATTCCAGGAAAATGATCCCCTAAATGCAAACTGTTGAGTCAGACTTTAATGGAACAAGAAAAAAACAAAAAATCAAATTTGATAAATTATGGACTTGGTTAGCATATTCAGAAAGGACATGATGAAAAAAGCCCCCTTGCCAAAAATGGTGACTCCATACAAATCCAGATTGGCTTGGATCATAATGTTATGGTCCAGGCCTATTTTTTTTAGCTGTAACCAACTTATCAAAAGTAGGGGTAACAGTAGCCCAAGAGAAGCAACTGATGCTTGGTTCTCAGTGAACGCACTGAAAGCTACTTTGGCACTTCAACTGAAATTGCACAAAATTCTCCCAAAACTCTTCAAACTTTTTAGTACATGCCCGTTTTAGGTTTGAGAATACCAGAATTTTGTCAAAGGGTAATACTTTGTACCTTTTTCTTACAAGTACTAAATGTACCTTGTTCGTATGTTGGTATGCAAGTACGCTCTTATGGTGAACGTGCTAATAAATCTACAAAGTTCGACAACATGTTTCTATTACGTTAGTTGAGTTTCTTTTGTTTATGTGTGTCTATAGTACATAAGTGTTTTAGAGATAGCATGTTAGAATGTTACTGACATCAAGGGTGACCTAGAATCCTAGCATGTTAATCCCCCGTACTAACCAAAAAATACAGAAAAGCAACTCTAAAATGGGCAGCATATGAAGTATTGTCTGAAGTGATCCTCCCTCCATCCTGCATAATCACTGTGTGAGATTGTCATTGGTGGCAATCAACTGAATAATATACAAATCCCCACAAAAGGTCAATAGTGTCGCAGAAGGAACAATAATTTTTATTGTTGTCTATTGCAAAGTATTTACTTACTCTCAGATGTTCTACTGTATGGGTGAGATCAATAATATGATGATGTTCCCTTGTTCCATAGAGATAACCCTTCATCAAGGGATGCCAACAGCCTTCATGGTGGCCAAGGTGTACTTTAGCATCAAAGAGATCTTTCATTGTAAAAAGTTTATGCACTTCAAAGAAATCAGGGTGCTCCAAAATGTTTTTTGTTGTGTGTATGTCAACAGGTTCTAGACAGAAAGTTGAGTTTTAGTCAAGTGTTTCAAGCAGTTACTCTAGGGACCCTAGGGACAATCACTGTACCTACAATATAGGGATCATGTGCCTTATGGGGAGTGTCGACTGATATCTTATTCAACTAATGGTTGATATATTGGTCAAGAGTCGGTTGCTAGGTGACTATGGTATTAGTAGTGTGTCGGCAATGAATTGGTCAGCCGTCAGTCAAGTATCAGTAAGGTATTGGTGGTGTATCTCATCCTCAAGGCCTTTCCGTTTCAACTGACATACAGTGGACACTATTGATCATTACACATAATGGCTGCAGCTAATGCCAGATTGGTCAGTTACCAAATCACAGCTATTTCCATATATTGGCTGACATCTTGGTCATCTGACAGTCAACTGTTGCACGTTCAAATGTAACTCATTAGCATACATAGCTTGTTGCACGTGCATTTGCAATGTGCAGTAAATTAGCATATTCAACCTGTTACTTAGACTTTGACATTTCGCAATTAAAGCAATATCTTCATCGAGTGCACCACGCTATCAACATGGTGGCAGCGGTCCATAACTGTAAAAGTTCGGGATAAAGAGAGATCATGGCTGCTTCTAGCAGGTCCCAACATTGTTGGGAGTTGTTGTATCCGTCTGCACACCTCTGCCAACACGCACGCAGCCTAAGACACGATAGTCCTCAGTAGTCCTCGGTGGCAGCCAATTTACACGTTGCAGTTTCTAGGTTGCATTCCTTTGTCTAAAAGAGAGGCGAAAATAATAAAAGTCTGGCCAGGATTTTTGTGTTCGACAAGTTTACTTTACAAAATCTTGCCGATAAATCTGGTGGCGTATAAAGCAGCCTTTAATATTTTCATTCATCACATCTGAGATACAGAGTACTATGAGGCGCCGTTTTTTTTTTATACAGACCTCGGACAGAATTTACTCTTAAATTTACTAGTTTTTCACAATTTTGCAAGGCAAATTGCACTCATTCAATATTCAGGACGACCGAAGCGCGCGCTTCCTTTGCACAACAAATTATAGATTATAACATAGCGCGCATGCTTGCCCTGTGTAAGTCCTATTGAGCCACTACAGAAACTCATGAGTTTCTGGCCACTATGAACAAATTATAAAATCTTTATTTATCCTTTGGGATGATCCGGGTCAGGATCAGCGTTCCGAGATCACTCCGATCATGGTAGATCAAATGAACCGAAGAATCCTTGTCCAGAGTGGATTCATCGGTTCATTTGATCTCCCATAATCCGAGTGATCTCGGATCACTGATCCTGATCTGGATCATCCAAAAAGATTTCTTTCACGATGATAAGTTCAGCTGTGTTTTTCGTCTCTTTTCCTAAGTAATAAGTACCCCAAAATTGACGGCAATGATGAAAAACTTTCTAGATTTTTTGAAATTTATCTTTTAGCCACTCAAACCAACAGCAAAAGCGGTGGAGATGTTTCGCAAATAATAGAGCCCGAATCGTTGAAAGGGCTGCCGTAAAGACTGACATTCAGCTGGAAAAAAAACACAAATTTGTCTGTGTCGGGAAATATCCAATTTGTATAAGGTGTCCTCCGCTTTTAAGGTTTTTTTTATCCTTTACAAAACAAGCTAATTATAAAGTAAGTTGTTATCGCCGAACAATCCGACTGAAGCAGGAACATCTCTCTTGCGATAACAAGACAAATTACACAAGAAGACATAGATTCATTGCTCACAAAAACAACTGCTTCCAGGTCTTCTCAAGAATCCGTAATGACCAGCCATTGTTTGAAAATGAATATAAAGTAGGATGACAGTCGCCTTCGCTAAAAAACAAGTTTTCTGGATGTCGCCGAGCAAAACATCAACATCTCTTTGACATCTTTTCAGCGAATCCAAACCATACTCCACGACTTCTCAACATGTGAGTATTTTAACTTTAGGTGGACTTTACGACTCTTTTACCTTTGTTTCTGCCGTGCTTAGTTTCCATTGATCGTTTTGTGTTTGTTCATTCATAACACTGGCTCGAAACAATGGCTCGAAACACGATCGTGAGACTATGCTACTCACATACACGCGCATCACTTCTGCGAGAGATTTCGGTGAATTTCGATGCGCAGCTATTGAATTTTATTTACTGATTATTCTAGTTATATAAAGAGATAATTCTTTAAGCCTAATAGTTTATGGATATTTTCACTCTAAGTTCGCTGCGCAGGTGGGTAAGAACCGAAGTATCTTGTTTTTTTGTTAAAGTGACAACTTCGCGCAGTCGTCTGCCAGTGGGCAAAAAACAGCCATGTTCAATTTCGATTTTTCGACTTTTGAGTCGAGGTGCAATGAGGTACATTGTCATTCCTTGAAATTATATTTCTTCCTCTCTTCGAAAATTATAGTTTTACAGGACCTCAGCTGTTGTAGTAGGAAAGTAACGCATGTCTTGAAGTACCCGAACGTGAGAGTGAGGGTAATACCTTCATCATTATAATTCACCTCTCTTTGTCGTGAAAATAAGGCATTTAAGTGTACATTAATAGCTTGGAAAATTCGCTCGGTATATCAATTCAGTGCCAATCAAAAGGAATGAAACAAAAACAACTCACTTCAAGCCGTCCAACAAGTTCTTTTGAGAGATAGAAAAATCATCTCCGACGCTCAGGATGCATCCAAAATGGCCACGTTACATGCAAAAGCCGCGAAAAATTGCCACATGGAATCATGTGAAGACTGCATTATCCTCCTTGGATGCAAAGATTACCAAATTTTCTTACCCATGGTGCTCCGCCAGTGCGGGCGCAAGATTTCCGCTATAACCTCTGGGCATTATTTTAACAGAATTCTCGGCTTTCAAACTGAGAAACTATCGATTCTTCTGAGTTTTTACTTTCATGAGGTATTACAGCACCTAAAAAACTTTATTGACACAAATTTTCAAATCAAAAGGGTTCTTCTTTTTGCCATAGAGGACGCTTGAAGTTCCAGGCTTTCAGCTGGGCGGCGGCGGTGAAAGCACAGTCTTATGTAGGTTAAAACGTTACTAATTTTTGGAGAATTTGCAATCTAAACACTCCCTTCTCAGAATAAATATTACTTTAATGTTTATGACTTCCTCATGCAAGCGATGAATTCACGCATAAGTAGGAAAACTCAAAACAGATGTTTCTGTTGGTTTCCGGCGGCCATATTTGTGCCCCTCAAAGGGACACCAACAATGGCGTCTCCATACAAAGCCTTGTAAATTTGGGTAAAACGTTTTCCCCAATATCTCATATATGAAATATCTCACAGACCTTATTCTTGGCGAGGCTTTTTGTATATTTATCTTCTTTCATTTCCCAAATTCTGGACTTTCTGTATTCAATGGTTTGCACGAACGGTTAGTCTCTTCTCAAGAAAGAGGTGGCGTCGGGTATAGTAAGTTGTTGGTCAATCAGTAGAGGCCTTACGATCAGACAACGGCGACGTCCAGCATGAAAACATCTTCGAACAAGAACGCCCTTACAGCCGGCAGTCATTCCCGCTTGCTTGGAGATTAGATCGAGAAATGAGGAGGCGATCAATTCTACACGAAACAGCATCTACTCTCTGAAGGTTTTTTACTTGCTACTTTATCGACGTCGATACTTTTTATTTTTTTCTTAATTGATTTAGTACGCGTGTTAGCGACGACCGGAAATTCGTCTGCGGTCGCGGTCTATACGCGTTTACAAATACACGAAATTCAAGTGCCTCGATTCCAGAGAAATTAACCGCCTCCCCCCCATCTCAGGATCTGGATGACCCCCCTCCCCCTCCCCTATCTCAAAGTCTGGATCTTGCACTGAAAGTAATCAACGCTTTCATGCGATAGAATTCGTGGACCGATATGTTACGAAAAAGATTTAAATTTAATCTTTCCTAAGCTTTTTTCACAAAGCATGCGTGGCTTCGGTCACAGAACGATTCTTAGTCCTATTTTCCACGGTCTCCGCTAGGAACGCCTGGCACATGATCCCTCTCTTGTGTCCTAAATACGAATAAAAACGCATTGCAGATTATGAGTCTCGCTGTTTACGCAAGCGAGACTAAAAATAGACTTCGCATCCGTTAACGTTTTCGTGATTATACCAAGTTGCCCAGATACTGAAAAGAAGGGAGTTTATGTTGGAGCTAAAGAGAGGGGCCCCCGCCCCCGCAGTAGGCACAGTAGTACCAGTATTTACTGTCTTCGCGGTCCCTGTTGTAGGTGAAGTAAAAGTTGGGGCTTTTCTAGTGGCTGTTGTGCATGGAGTGGTTGGGAAGGGCATAGTTGGGGAAGCCGCTCACGTAAAAAGAGAGGGACCCCCCCCCCCCCAAGTTCGGACAGAGATGCTAGAATTTATAGCCTTGCCGTTCCCGTTCTTAAGTGAAGGTAAAATTTGGCCATTTCACGTCGTACTTGTGCAGCGATAGCAAAGAAATGTTCAAAAAAGCGTGATGCAAATGCAAAAATGTTGTTTTGCTCATTAAACCTATTGCTTTTTTGACGTTCCCGTTCCCGTTGCCGTCGTAGTTTCTCAAGGTCCCTAGTTTTAGATCAGGCGACCCAGAGGATATTATTCATCACTTTTTCTCCACAGACAGAAGTGGAACACGCCCCAGCAGGATGGTAGAGACGACTTGCCTAGAAACCAAAGCCGCTAGTTCGTGTGACTACAGTCTTCCCTAGCAAAGACTTGGTATTCTCAAAGTTCAAGCCCTTTCAACTCGTGACGGACGACGATTGTTTATCAAACGACCAAAACCACCAAACGATCAGCTTGCCACCTACTCTAGTTGACGTTCCAGACCATAAATACATTCCCTCCCGAGAAAACAATTTTACTGATAAGTTTAGGAAACCTAAAACTTTGTGAAATTGTTTCCAAGACGTTAGGTTTTAGCTTCAAAAAGCGCCAAATTTCATGCGCTTCAAGACTTGCGACTGTTTCAAATTTTCAACTTCATGTGTGCCAAATTTAATGCTAATTAAGAAAATCTATTGTTCTCACTCATTTGCACGAGATTCGGCGCATGTTAAGTTGTTTTTTTTTAAACGATGGATGGGTGTATGTTTGATTAACGTTTGCCTACGTAGCCGGCGGGATCATTAGCGCGAGTAAAGTTTTGGCAATGGAGCTTCAAAGCCGTGCGTAGAATAGGGGGAAAACGCTTTCAATTCTCTCGCGCCTTTGGCGCGAACTTCCGTCACTTCTTAAACGTAAATAAAGTTACTCATTACTCATTACTCACTCAAGAATATATGGCAGCTTCGCCGCCAAAACTCTCACACGCACTAAAACAATAGGGAGCTTTAGGCAGGCAAGGAAGAAATTTTACAACAAATGCTCCGAAAATTCTAGATTTCAAATCGTCTTCCGAACAGATATTTTCCGAAAATCGACGTTGCGTGCCCCTGATTAATGTCTGGTGTTCAGCGGAAATCCTGCTCCGATGCGTTTTCTTGCGGTGCATTTCGTACGGTCAAGTCGCCCGAAAGTCATCTCGCCCGAAGTCATGTCGCCCGAAATTTATAGTCATGTCGCCCGATATTTTGAGCATTTTGAATATGACTCGAAGTCTCTTTTTAACGTAAAGGCATATCAGTATGTTTCCAAAGCTCACAATTATTACTTTGACGTGAAGTCCATTATTATCGCCCACCTGCTCTAGGGAAGGACTCAAACTGTTTCTGCACCCACAGTCCCACAGCAATTTGATATTTTTCACTTTTAGAGTGATTTTACTTGACCCGTGAAACAGTTAGTAGAATACTACGCACTGTTATGCACTAATTCCATTGTATTCTTTTGTTTGACTCTTGCTATTTGGCACTATTTGTTAGTATCTGTTTCTCATTTCAAGTAAATTCACTCCATCGAAGTTATTTAGTCAGGACTGTTCATTATCGTCTTCAACGAACACACCTGTGTGACCACTGATTTATTGGAGTAAGTTGTGTTTTTGACTAAAACGCTTCAAGGCATTCTGAGTAAATAGGCCATTTTACAGTTGTGTATGGAAGCGAGGCTGAGGGTGACCTTGTTTTGATACAAACCTTCCTGCTTTATTGTGTAAATCAAGTTATTCTTATGCTAACCAGTATTTTTCAAGAACAATTTCCATAACAAAGCAAAGAAGGTTTGTATCAAAACAAGGTCACCCTCAGCCTCGCTTCCATCCATAACTGTAAAATGGCCTATTGCACGAGCAGATGCCTTCAGACTGTCA